AAAAAAGTGTACAATTCAGTGGTGTTTAGCATATTCACAAAGTTGTGCAACCATAACCATGAGCTAATTCCAGAACATTTTCACCACTTCCTACTCCCCAGGGTGCCCGCTCCCTGCAAAAAACAAACTTCCCCCACTCCCCACTCCCCCTATCCCCCTAACCCCGCAAAATAAACTGCCCCGTAGCAGTCACTCCTCCTTCACCCCTCCCCCTGCCTCTGGGAACCACTAATCTACTTTCAATCTCTTTGCCTATTCAGGACATTTTCTATAAATGGAATCACACAACATGTGGCCTTTTGTGACTAGCCTCTTTCATTAAACGATGTTTAATGATCTGTTCATGATGTAACATATGGCAGTACTTCATTCCTTTCTGTGGCTGAGTAATATTTCACTGTATGTCTATACCTTTTGTTTATCTGTGCATTACTTGATGAATATATAGCTTTCTGTTTTGGGGCTACTGTGAATAAAGCTGCTATGAATATTCATGTACAAGTATTTGTATATGAACATATGTTCTTCTTTCCCTTGGGTATATGCTTAAGAGTGGAATTGCTGGATCATATGTCAACTCTATCTTTAACTTTCGAAGGAACTGCCAAACCGTTTTCCAAAGCAGTTGCACCATTTTACATTCCCACCAACAACGTATGAGGGTTCCAATATCTCCACATCCTTGCAAACGCTTGTCATTGTGTGTCTTTTTTCATTGCAGCCATCCTATTGGGGGCGAAGTGGCATCTCATTGTGGTTTTGATTGTCAGCATCAATTCTGAGGACATTTTTTCTGTGGGTGGACCTCAGTGACTTAGAACCAGCTTTACATGTCCAGGGAACCCACTCCCCTCCCAGGTTTGTCCCGGGCCTAAGGGAGCCTCACAGCACTGCTGACCCTGTCTGCCATGCTGAAGCTCTCAATCCCACGCAGGCTTCCGTTGGCATTCCAGCCACCCATGCAGCCATTTGTAAACAGCTGCTGTGCACCCCCTGTGCCTCCATTCCCATTGCTGCTCCAAAGGCTCTGTAGACTCCAAGAGTCCCCAGGAAAGGGGACAGCAGGTTGGGTGCCATCAAGAGTATCTTTCCTTAGCAGTAGGGAGTAAAAGACCTGGTTGGGGAGAAGGCTTGAGGGACAGTAGTTTACAGTACTTCGACTGGCTGGTCTTGCCCCAGAACCTGACTCCCTCGACCCCCTCCATTTACCATAGAACTTGGGAAGGCAGGCAGGGATCTGTGCATCCTGGTGGTCTGTCACCCCCTCATGGGCTCCCCATGTTAAGAGATGTCCTCTCTTGGGCCCTGACTGGCACAGGACCCTGACCCATTGCCCTCAGCTTGAGCTGAGACAACATCTACATAAGAGTCAAAGCAGTGTCTTTATACTGCTTTCATACACATATCTGTAATAAACCTCTCCTCAGAAATGGAAATTAAACAGGTAATAGTCATACCCAGGTACCTGGGATTCTCTCTCTCTCTCTTTTTTTTTTTTTGAGATAGGGTCTGGCTCTGTCACCCACACTGTAATGCAGTGATGTGATCATAGCTCACTGCAGCCTCGACCTCCCAGGCTCAAGACATCTTCTTTCCTCAGCCCCCTGAGTAGCTGGGACTACTACTACATGTGCACACCATGCCTGGCTAATTTTTGTATTTCTGTAGAGATGGGGTTTCGCCATGTTGCCTAGGCTGGTCTCAAACTCCTGGGACTCAAGCGATCCACTTACCTGGGGCTCCCAAAGTGCTGGGATTACAAATGTGAGACAGTGCTTGACCTACCTGCAATTCTCTAATGGTGAGATTAAATCTTGCAGATTGTGGCACTTTGGGAGGCCGGGGCGGGCCGATCACCTGAGGTCAGAAGTTTGAGACCAGCCTGGTCAACATGGTGAAACCTTGTCTCTACTAAAAAAAAAAAAAAAAAAAAATCTTGCAGATTGTGATTGGGGATGGGCTGTTCCATTTGAGCTGCCTCCTCTGCTCTTTGAACCTTGAAATACAGTTGTGGTTCCGGGAAATGAGGGCTTAGAAAACAGAGCCACTGAGCAGAAAAGCTTCATTCATCCAGTAAACACTGCCAGAGCATCTACTGAGTACCGGGCGCTGGGGCAGAGAACTGCCTACAAGCAAGCTGAGTGTCAACTGAGGGGCAAGTGGTGTGGAAAAGAGAAGCAAAGTGCCTGTAGGAGACCAGAGGAAGGGCACCTGACCCAATATGGGGAGGAGGCAAATGCCAAGGGAAGGACTTCTGTGAGAGCTGATGACTGAGCCACATCTGGGAAGGACAAATAACAATTAGCTAGGCTGAGAAGGCAAGGAGAAAATCTTACATGCCGAAGCATGATTGAGCTGAAGTCTCCAAAATCCCTGGCAGATCTGCCTGGCTGATCAGGTGTGTCTGAGCCATGGCAGAAGGCCAGACTCCTAGCCAAAAACCCAGGCAGGGCTCAGGCCCAAATATAATGCGCAGAGGTCCAAGGCCAGCCACAAGGCCAAGAGCCAATTTCTGGCTAAGGTCACAGCCACTTGCCAACCCAGAGCAGAAAAAACAAACACATTTCATCCACTGCAGCACGTCTTGCACTTGCCTCTCTGCCCTGAGGCTTGCTGAGTGCCCTGCCTCAGAGCCGATCCAAACTGGGGCCTAGCTCAGCAGCAAACCTGGAGGCCTGGGACCTTGGGGCTGGAAGTCAACAAGGTCATTGTGGCCAGCTTTCCTCTAGAACTCCCAACTTCAGGCTGGGCGCAGTGGCTCGCGCCTGTAATCCCAGCACTTTGGGAGGCCAAGGTGGGTGGATCACCTGAAATCAGGAGTTTGAGACCAGCCTGACCAACATGGCGAAACCCCACCTCTACTAAAAATACAAAATTAGCCTGGCATGGTGGCATATGTCTGTAATCCCATCTGCTTGGGAGGCTGAGGCAGGAGAATTGCTTGAACCCAGGAGGCAGAGGTTGCAGTGGGCTGAGATCGCACCATTGCACTCCAGCCTGGGAAACAAGAGTGAAACTCTGTCTCAAAAAAAAAAAGAACTCCCAGCTTCAGTGCTTTCTGTAAAGGTAAAAGTAGCTGTGAGCTTCTGAGCACTTACAGTGTGCCTGACACCAGACATAGTGATGGCTGTGCCCACCTCCCAGCAATCCTGTGCTGAAGGTCATCTGAACCCTGTCTTAGATATAAGGAGACTGTAAGCCCAATCTCACACAGCTGGTAGAATGAGAGTCAGGCTCTTCTGACCACAAAGCCTATTCCATGCCAGGTGGCTTTGAAGGGCAGGTCAGTTGTGTGTGTTTGGTGTTGTGGAACAGGGAGAAGGTGAATAGGAGACTAGTGTTCATTCCAGCTACAGGCCTGCGGCTGGAATTAGATCTTCAATGACCCTGAGGCATCAACCATGGGCTAGCAAAAGAACCTTGCCCACACCACCCATGCTTATTCATCCCCTCTGCTGACCCTTCTGTGCCAAGTACAAGGCCTGTCTTCCCCTGGGCTGCCCATGATGTAATGGCAAGATCTTATACTCTGCTTTCAGAGTTTTCATGGACTTTACCAGTCCAGGTCCAACCACGTCTCATCTTTAGCCGTCCCTGGTGCCCTGCTGTGGTTTGAATGTCTCTTCCAAAACTCAAGTTGAAATTAATTGCTAGAGGTGGGGCCTTTCAGAGGTGATTAGGTCATGAAGGCTCTGCCCTCATGAATTGATTAATATCGTTGTTGTGGGAATGGGTTAGTATCATAGGGATTGGGTTCCTGATAGAAAAGATCAGTTTGGTCCAGTTTTCTCTCTGTCTCACCCTAGCTTCTGCATTCTGCCATCGGAGGGCCCTCACGAGATGCCAATGCCATGCTCTTCAACTGCCCAGCCTCCAGAACTGTGAGCCAAATAAATCTCTTTTCCTTGTAAATTACCCAGTCTATGTTATTGTGTTATAGCAGCGGAGGGGTATGGACTAAAACACAGCCCTTCACACCCACCACCTCCTCCAGCCTCATTAGCAAGTAGGCCTCATAAGGTTTTCTTCTCTGCTACTTACAGTTCATTCCTCACACGGGCTCACTCTTGCTATCTGGGGCCAGAAGAGCAGCTTCCAATCAATCTCCTTCCCATTAACAGCCAAACTTCTCCAAAAGTTGTCCATACTCAGCTAATATGTTTGCTTCTGATAATGTTTGTTTTTCTCCCCTTGGCTCTTACTCCATTTAAAGTCCAGTGGCTTTTAAACATTGTGGGCTGCAATCTATAGGAAGAAATAGGTTTTACACTGCAAACCAGAACACACACACACAAACACACACACATGAAACAAAAGTTAATGTTAGCATGACCTACTAAATCAATTTTGTGCCCCATTAATGGATTGTAACCTACAGTTTGAGAAACATTGTTCCGTATTTTGACACCCAGAGCCTCCGGGTAGTGATAGTGTAGCAGAAATTTGTCAAGGAAAAAAAAAGTCAAATCTAAAATACTGAAACACACGCTAGAGACAACAGTTTAAAGAGGACAGTTTTGAGTTTCAAAAGCCTAGGCGATTTCCTCTTCTAGGTAGGATTTAATAGGCTGTGGCAGGCTAACACTCCTACTGCAACAAACTGAGACGAGGCTCCCCAGCTGTTCCGCCATCCCCAGGACATTTGTCAGTTTGGGGCACTTGCTAATGATCAAGTTTGCATAGCAGGAGGGCCTGTATGTAATGGAGGAAAGGGAAACCAGCAAAGCTTTCAGTGGTCACAGGTGCTAGAATGACAAATTAGAATATGGGAGCTTTAAACACACCACCAATTTTCTGAACCTGACATTTGCTGAGTTCTGCACCTAGGAATGCATCTAAAAGCAGAATAGGGCTGGATGCAGTGGCTCATGCCTGTCATCCCAGCACTTTGGGAGGCTGAGGTGGAAGGATCACTTGAGCTCAGGAGTTCAAAACCAACCTGGGCAACACAGGGAGACTCCATCTCTACAAAGAAAAAAATAAAACTTAGCCAGACGTGGTGGTGTGCACCTGTGGTCCTAGCTACTCAGGAGGCTGAGGCAAGACAATCACTTGGGCTGGGGAAGTCAAGGCTGCAATGAGCTCTGATTGCAACACTGCACTCCAGCCTGGGCAACAGAGCAAGACCCTGTCTCAAAAAAACCAAAAGCTGAAATATTTGGCCAAGCGCAGTGGCTCATGCCTGTAATCCCAGCATTTTGGGAGGCCAAGACGGGCAGATCACGAGATCGAGACCATCCTGGCTAACATGATGAAACCCCATTTCTACTAAAAATACAAAAAATTAGCTGGGCGTGGTAGCGCACCTGTAGTCCTAGCTACTCAGGAGGCTGAGACAGGAGAATCCCTTGAACCCAGGAGGTAGAGGTTGCCATAAGCCTACATCGCACCACTGCACTCCATCCTGAGCAACAGAGCAAAACTCTGTCTCAAACAGAAAAAGAAATATTCTACAGTCCCACAATGCTTAGAAAATGAAAGTTTCCCAAGAAGGAAGGGCCTTCCCCAAACACAGAGCCAGCTCCCACCTCAAGACATTGGCCAGATCTTGAAGCTTCATGGAGACAGAATCTGGAAGCTGGACTGGGAACCTCTGAAAAGCCAGAGCTGAATCTCACAGTGTTTCATGGCTGTGGATCCAGAAACCTGGCAAGGCACTCACCCAAAATCCACATGCCAGGCATAGGGGTAAACCAGAGATAAACTGGAGATAGACAGATTCCAAAACCAAAACCCAGTCCCAACCCACTTCAATCCTTCACTGGACTGATGTGATCATTCCTTACCCCCATCTGCTTAACAGAAGAAAGAGGGAACACTTTGTGTGGTAAATTATATCATCTAGAGTCTCTATGCCTGTTACATACAATGTCTACATATGGAAAAAATAAGTAGATTTGTGAAGAGATATGAAAATATCATTCTGATAAGAGAAAAACAGACTATAGAAGAAGACACACAAATCATCCTGATGTTGTGGTTGGTAGACAAAGGCTTTAAAATAACTAATTGTGGAGGAACTGGAACTCTCACACATTGCAGGTAGAAGTACAAATTGGTATATCTATGTATTGGTCAGGGTTTACTCTGGATACAGAAACCACATGATAATTTAAATAAGGAAATTTTAATATAAAAATGTATTATGGGTAAGAGATGATTATCTAGCAAAGGGAAAAGAAAACTCTGAAGAATACAATTACAGATATAAGGAGCAGCCTCTAGGGCTAAGGCAGAGCACCCAAGGAAAGAAGAAACCTGGATGAGGTCCTCACCTTCACATTCTACCACCAGGCTGAGATCCATACCTTGCTGAAGATGGTGATGGATGATGGAGAAGTTCATTGCAGTTCCATGCAGATGCAATTCTATATGAATCTACAATGGTAGATACATGTCATTATACATTTGTCAAAACTCATAAAACTGTACAATACCAAGAGTGAACCTTAATATAAATTATTTAGATGATTATGATGCATCAATGTAAATTCATTAATTGCAACAAATATAACATTCTGGAGGAAGATGTTGATAATCCAGGAGGCTATGCATGTATGTGAGTAGGGGGTATATAGAAAATCTCTGCACCTTCCTCTCAATTTTGCTCTGAACTTAAAATTGCTCTTAAAAATACAAACCTGGCCACGATGGTGAAACCCCATCTTTAAAAAAAAAAAAAAAAAAAAAACAGAAACAAAAATTAAAATAAAACTTTTTAAAAGGTCAGGCACAGTGGTTCACACCCATAATCCCAGTCCTTTGGGAGGCCAAGGTAGGTGGATCACCTAAAGTCAGGAGTTAGAGACCAGACTGGCCAACACAGCAAAACCCCGTCTCTATTAAAAATACAAAAAAAATTAGCTGGGTGTGGTGGTGCATGCCTGTAATCCCTGCTACTCGGAAGGCTGAGGCAGGAGAATCACTTGAACTCAATACGCAGAGGTTGCAGTGAGCTGAGATCATGCCACTGTACTTCAGCCTGGGAAACAAAGCAAGACTCCATCTCAAAAAAACAAAACAAAAAAAACTTTTTTTAAGCTGGAAGATCCTATGGATCTTGCAGTTAGCCTGGAAAGAATGTAGTAACCATCTGTATGGATAATAGTCTGATACCACCAGATGTGTACGTCCCTGAAGATGCCAGAGCGGACAGGTAATCCTCCTACTGTGCACTGGCATTAGGTAAGTCCCTTACAACTGCAAGGTAACTCCAACAGAAGGGTGTATTGGGGGCAGGTGGCAAGAAACAGTACTTAACTGAGAAATTTCTGAATTTACTGATATGAAATGGAACTGCCTATGGCTTAATTTCTGACACCAGGTGGAATGAGAGTTTCTTTTTTTTTTTATTTTCAGTCACCCAGGCTGGAGTGCAGTAGGGTGATCTCAGCTCACTGCAGCCTCCATCACCTGGGTTCAAGAGATTCTCCTGCCTCAGTCTCCCAAGTAGCTGGGATTATAGGCATGCACCACAACACCTGGCTAATTTTTGTATTTTTAGTAGAGACGGAATTTTGCCATGTTAGCCAGGCTTGTCTTGAACTCCTGGTCACCTTGGCCTTCCAAAGTGCTGGGATTACAGGCATGAGCCACTGCACATGGCCAAGAGTTTCAAATAACGTTTAAGCTGGATAGCATTGTTTGAGGTGGGGGATTCAGAAACAATCTTGAGGTTCATCACTGGGGAGTGGGTAGGGAAGATGTGCTGAGTGCTTGCCATGAAGTACCAGGCAGCACCTGGACCCAGTGTTTACATAGCAACACGTATGGATTTTTAAAACATTGGGATGATTGAAAAAGAAAGAGAATGAGGAATAAAGTGTATCACACAGTAACCCCTACATACATTAAAAATATATGCATACACACACAAAAATTTGCAAATACATATACAAACAAGGAGATACTTATTAGAAACATCGAAGGTTTTCCTGTGGGGGATTAGTGCAGAATAAGTGTAGGAAAGGGGATTGTCTTAGCCTGGGTTCCTTAGGAAACAGCCTGTGCCAAGTGGCAAAATATATATACTAACCCTTTATTGGAGGAAGGTACAGTCCCAGGGCAGCAAAAGTGAGAGGAAAAGGGAGGTGAGGCAGGAAAGGTGGGGAAGCAAATGAAAGACAGTGCACTAACTAGGCTGACCATAATCCCATCAAAAAATGCGTCCTTTTGGCCTGGAACTACTGAGCACTGGGGTAATTTCATTAGGGAGAGGAGTTTATCTCTTTCCTGCCTTCTGTCTCTCACGGGTCGAAGTCCTGCCCAGGATGCACTCTCTCCACTTCCAGCTTGCATCATCAGCTTCTCCAGGCAGCCACAGAGGAATCCAGATCCTGTGCAGTGGTGCTTTGCCTGCCTTAGGAGGTGGTGGGAATGCCCAGAGGTTTGTGGGTATGATCAGCCTCGGCTTATGGCCAGACCTGCTGCGACTCCTGCTTCAGCAAGAACAATGGAGGCCCTGCCAGGGCTTGGATCTCATCCTAGTGAAGGCTGGGACAGCTGGTGGTGTTAGGAGACGAGGTGTTGGTAGTAGCAGCTGTGTCTCAATTGCATAAGTGGCTCAAGGCGTGGGGAGCAGGTGGGCCCAATAATTTGGGTCTGATACAATGCCTTGGCATGGATTCCATGCATAATTCCGCCCAAGGTCACAGAATAATCAGGGCAGACTTCCAGTACAGTATGTTCATTCCCCTGAGCCGCAGGCTGAGCCTGCATGTGGGCTGAGGTCCTAATCCTTAGACATCTTTGTTCAGATCCTACTCATGACTGGGCTCGGTTTTTCTCCCTGTCTGTTCTCAGGAGCAAGTCTGCTCTAGGATTGCACAACTTCTGCCTTCATGCTGGGAAATAAAGCTGAAAAGGGAAGAGGACCCAGGCCCAGCCACTAAAGTGGACACATATTTTAATTATGGCTACTATATTTGGAATATTAATAGACTGGTCTTTTTTTCTGGTAACCAAATGACCTGCGCGGGGGGGCGGGGGGCAGGAGCTGCAGTGGAGAAAAGAGCCCCCACACCTCCTCCAGGGTCTTAAGCACTGCTATGGAAGACACATGTCCAGACCATAGCAGACCTCCCAGGGCCTGTGCTTGTCACATCCAGGTATGGCGCATGTGTGAGCCTTTGGGGCCAGTCACAGGCTATTTGTTGCTTGGCTCATTTTCCTGGAGTATTGTTTTTACTCAATGAATTAAAAGAATAAAGTTTTGAAATTTCATTCTTGTCAGTGGTTTTGTTACATGCAGATACAAACCAAATCCAGCACCTCTGTTTTTCTCTCAATCATTCTCATGTTTTCTTCCATGAAATCCCAGAGTTAACATTCAGTGAGTGATGTAAAGACTTGGTAATTTGGAGTGCCCTGATGATATAGTTAATAACTCCTGTCCCAGTGTTGAAGGTGAGGCCGGGTGAGAGGTGTTTGGATCACAGGGGCGGATTTCAGTGAATGGCCTAATGCCATTCTCAAGGGAATGAATGAATTTTCACTCTTAGCTCCAATGAGAACTGGATGCTGGAAAGAGCCCAGTACCTCCTCTGTGCTCTCTCTTGCTTTCTCTCTCACCATGTGATATGCACATACCAGCTTCATTTTGCCTTCTGCCACGAGTGGACCTCATCGGAAGCAGATGCTGGTACCATGCTCCTTGTAGAGTCTGCAGAATTGTGAGCCAAATAAACCTCTTTTCTTTATAAATTACGCAGCCTCAGGTATAAACAACACAAAATGGACTAAGATATCTGAGCACTTGCTTGTACTGGTTCTGTAGGCATGCCCAAGTAAAAAGACATATCTAGAGTGGGTGACTGCTGGAGAATGGGTTACTGCTGTTGTCTCTGGGCCATACAGCTAGTACTGTGCCTGGCTGAGGGTGGGAGGCAGCTTGCTTTTTGGATGGCAAATCTATGGTCGTCTGAACTAAAATAACGAAACGGTTTATTCTGGTCAATTCCCCAATTATTGGGGATCTGGGTGAAGAGAACTATGAGTCTTTTGAGTAGCTTACATTTACTCAAAATCTTACATTTTCAGGCTGGATGTAGTGGCTCATGCCTGTAATTCCAACATTCTGGGAGATGGGGGTAGATGGATCACTTGAGGTCAAGAGTTTGAGACCAGCCTGGCCAATGTAGTGAAACCGATCTCTACTAAAAAAAAAAAATACAAAAATTAGCCAAGCGTGGTGGCACACGCCTATAGTCCCAGCTACATGGGATGCTGAGGCAGGAGATGCTCTTGAACCCAGGAGGGGGAGATTGCAGTGAGCCAAGATCACACAACTGTACTCCAGCTTGGGGGACAGAGTGAGACTCTGTCTAAACAAAACAAAACAAAACAACAACAACAACAACAAAAACTTACATTTTCAGAAACTTACATTTGATAAAAATGAGTGTTGAGGGTAAAAAATCATTTTTAAAGCATCAGACATCTGTCTTCATTAAAAAAGAAAAGCCTTTAATAACATTTCCTGGAAGCTGATAAAAGCTGACCTTGGACTAGGTATTGTGGCTCACACCTATAATCCCAGTAATACAGGAGTTATTAAGAAATTATTTTTAGGTAGCTAGAAAGGGTTGGTGGAATTTTCCTTTAATAAAAAGCAGCCCCCAAATCATGTCTAACAGAAAACAGCCTGGAAAGTCAGGCTGCAAGCATAGATATGCATATGTAAATGCAGGTGGCTAAGAGCCAGGTCTACCCAATATTGCGGTACCCACTCCCTTTTCCTCGTCACCACATGTGCGGGCATCATGTCACCATCCAGGTAAAACCAAGTGTGCTGGTGTCATGGCAACTGCCAGGTAGAAGCTGAATTTGCATAATAAAAGACAATGGTGGAAGTGCCAGTCTTTTCGTGGCCTCTGTAAAATGGCACACCTCGTCAAACCAATCCCCTGGGCGCTATGTAAATCAATCACTGCCTCCTCAAGCCTCTGTACAAAATTGATCACATTCCACCCCAAACCAAAGACCCTCTCTAGGGCGACCCGCTTTCTCAGTATAAGGAAGTTCTCTCTCTTTCTCTCCTTCTTTGTCTATTAAACTTTCTGCTCCTAAACCCACTCCTCGTATGTATCAGTGTCCTGAATTCTTTCTCAGCGTGGGACACAGAACCACAGATAAATACCCAGAGAGAGGAGCTGTTTCACCAGCACTTCAGGAGGCAAAGGTGGGAGGATTGCTTGAGCCCAGGAGTTTGAGACTAGCCTGGTCAACACAGCGAGACCCTGTCTCTACAAAAAAATTTAAAAATTAGCTGAGAATGGTGTCATTTGTCTGTAGTCTCAGCTACTTGGGAGGCTGAGGTGAAAGAATTGCTTGAGTCCTGGAGTTTGAGGCTGCAGTGAGCATTGATGATCGGGCCACTG